GCAGCTGTGTGATATCCCAACTTAGTCATTGCCAGTGCACTTCTCAAATTGGGACCATGTTGAAAGACGCCACGTAATCTTTAACGTCCATGCAGCAGACAGTGCAGTGTTGTTATTATTACTAATACTCGGGTTCATATTCTTGGTTCTTTCGGTAAAGTCACGTAGAAGGGAAACAATAAAAAATAAAAATATAAACAATAAAATTCTCACGACGTTTCGACTGCAACACAAGCAATCATCATCAGGTGTGAAAACCACAGCAAGAAAAATTTGAAAAAAGTGACTTTTTTTTACGTTAGCACCATGGAGAGCGATTTGGCAGTTATTCAGATGGACGAGTCCATCTATGTTCGGAAAAGAGGAGGGGGGAGACGAAGAGAATGGAATGCGGTCTGAAAGCCACCGTAAGCGTGAACAATCAATTAAGACCCAAATGGTTTATCAAATCCTTCCAATGATTGCTAAGCCAGAATCCATCTTCTCGGTTGAAATTGTCTCTGTGTTGTATATGTGGATAGCCTCATGAACGAATCTCTCATGGTAGCCAGATGGCTTGCAGAGAACCTCTGTCTTGGAGAAGTCAATGTCATGTGAGCCTACTGAATTATAACAGTGATCTGCCACGGCCGAGGTGTTGGTCCTACCATGTTTTAGCTCTGCTTTGTGTTCAAAAAATTCTCACGAAACGTCGTGAGAATTTAATTGTTTTATATTTTTATTATTTTATTGTTTACATTCTACGTGACTTTACCGAAAGAACCAAGAATATGAATTCCTGCAGTCACGAAAGCTTTAAATCAAAATACGAGGGTTATGCACTCCTGCAGTGTTAACCAGCGCTGCTAGCTAGAATCATACTGCGAACCTCTGTGTTGTCTTGGTGTGGTCTGGGACTGTTGTTGTTGTCTTGATGTGGTCTGCGACTATTGTTGCTGTTTTGCTGCCTTGCCCAAGCTTGCATTTAGTGTCGATAATTTGGCAGGAATGTATGTAATTATGTAATTTGTATTTATATATTTTTATATTATTTTTAGTGTGTTGCTTACCTCTTCTCTATTTTGCACTCCTTTCGGTTTTTTGTATTGTTAACTTGCTGACCCCCGTGCCCCTACCGGACATCTGTGAAAAGAGCTCCACAGCTCATCGGATTCCTCCACTTGCAGTTTCAACAACAAAGATTCTGACCTTCTGCAATGAGTGGGCGACGCGCCTACCCCTGAGCTGCGTCATCGCCTCGCGAAGCGTGCCGCCGATAAGAGACTGAGAGAGTGGGGAGAGAGCGGACAAAGTCAAAGTTTCTCGGGTTACAGCTGGGTGTGGCGCGGCTCAACGTAGCGGCGCTCCTTGCCCCCTTTGCTCCGGGGCGCATACCGATCGCGTGCCGGTCTCGCGCCGATCGTGTGATGACCGCAGCAGGCCGTGCGTGTACAGTGCGCGGTTCCTCCCCCCCGTCCAAACACCTGGGCGCAGAGAGAGACGCCGATTGAATGCGCCGGTCGGCGGCGGTGGCGGTGCATGTTCACGAGCCACTGGTGTTCGAACCGCAGCCGTAGTTGCGGCAGGTGGCTGTGTGCGGTCACGCGCCTTGCGCTGTTTGGACCCTCTGTGGATCGCGGGGGAGGTGAGGGGCGTGACTTCTCCTGGCCATGGACGGTGAAGCAACAGAGCCTGGAAAGGTAAGGGGGGGTTTGTCGATTGCAGGCATGGTTGAGGCTGCGCTTATCACTGTATGGAATCTGGCCAGGGTTTGCAAACTCCCACTGCCCCTAGGTTTGTTCGTTTCTTGCGAGGGAAGGTCGGCATTGTAAAATGTGTATACCTGCTCATTTACTCGGCGAAGCTTCGCCAAGTGTCAATAATCTTTTTCTAGGAGGGTCCTGTCAAGTTATCGCATGAGGTGGCAATGGTGCTACGTGTAATGCCACTCACTATCACCACTCACCATCTTACTAACCCACCATGCCACGCACCGTCCCACTCGCTAACCCATTCACCTGCCCACCCACCAAGACACTCACCAAGACACTCACCAGACAATTCACCAACCCACTCAGAAACCCACTCACTAAGACACCAGACATTTCACCAACCCACTCACCAACCCACTCACTAAGACACTCACCAAACCATTCATCAGCCCACTCACTAAGACACTCACCAGACAATTCACAATCCCACTCACCAACCCACTCTTTAAGACAATCACCAGACAATTTGCAATCTCACTCACCAACCCACTCGCTAAGACACTCACTAGAAAATGCACCAACCCACTCACTATGATAATCACCAGACAATTCACAATCTACAGACAATTCACAATCTCACTCGCAAACCTACTCATTAAGACACCAGACAATTCACCAACACACTAAGACACTCACCAGACAATTTACAATGCAACTCACCAACCCACTTAGCAACCCACTCATCAGTATAGAAAATATATATTTGGTACTGGCATTATTATAAAATATAACTACACTACAGTACTACCCATTGTAAAACTAAACCGGTTGTGTCTATATGAATATGTTTGCAAACATTCTGCTAAGCTTGTTTTTGCCGAGTGCCGTGTGGCCTACCAGCCGCGCGTTCGCCAACCCAGCTCGGGATGGGGCTCGGGTGGTCATTAATAATTCAGCGTGTCACGTGACATCGAACAATGGGCCTTATCAGTCGGGGATCGTTTGACCATACTTCGCCACACTGGTTAGTGCCAGTTTGGCAAAGAGATGGCCGAGGATCGGTTTAGATGCTGCTTGTCGGGTGTCAATGACGTTAGCCATGGTCGCGGATTGAACGTAGTTCGCTGGGGTTGACGGCACGGTGCGCTAACCACTGCGCCACAGCTTACAATTTATTTTTTATAAATGTTATTTCGGTAAGTCCTCGCTTACCGCGAGATGTTCACACAACTGGTTTTGTCCAATGTGGGTCTTCCATTAGTGAACACTTGTCATGCATAGCGGATCGCGCACCATTATAATGCAGGTGATGCACCATTATAACGCGGAACCTGTACCGTTATAACGTGGAACCTGCACCGTTATAACGTGGAACATGTCCATTATAACGTGGAATCTGGACTGTTATAGCGCAGACTTGGACTGTTATAATGGGGAACGCACACAGCTATAACGTGGAACACGCACCGTTATAGCGTGGAATGTATCCGTTATAACGCAGAACATGCACGGTTAAAACGCAGAACGCGCCTGTTATAACATGAAACATTCCCATTGTAGCGCGGACTGTGTACCATTATAGCGGGGGACGTTATAACGTGAGACATGCGCAGTTATAGCGTGAAACGTGCTTGTTATAGTGCAGAACTCGCACCGTTAGAATGTGGAACACGCACCGTTGTGACGCAGAATGCGCAACTGTTACAATGCGGTTTTTGAGTGATCGATGATGAACTACTTTCTTGAGCTGTGCTGCTGAGCGGTACAGTGATACAGTACGTGGAGTGATACAGTAAGGCAGCATACCCTCATTTGTCCCACCATCGCACTGCATGTGCGTTGTACATCTTATCCCGCCAAACGTTATAGTTACTACATTATGGGGAAATAGATTTTTTCTGAAAGTGGCACTTTTCAGAAACGCATCTCGCTTTAAACGAGGACTTACTGCGCATGTGTTTTCTTTCCTGTTATAGGAAATTTGATTGTAACACGTGGCTTAGGCCACTATGTAACAATCTGGCCACTGACAAACAACTTAAATGGTCAGGTGTACAAGCATCATTCGGACAAGACAGGAAGTAGGAGTAAAATAAAATACAAATCTCAGAAGTTAGAGCAACAATTACTCTGACTTCCTCCTGGAACTTGTTCTGAAGATGCTTCACCATTTGATGGCGCCAAACGACTTCATCATCAACATATCCAGTAGTTGAACGCTGCTTCGTACCGTTCTCGCTCACACCGGTGAAGTGAAGGCCGATTCTCACAGCCAGATTGAGAGATTTAGATTCGTGATGTTTCACTTGAAATTACATCAAGCATCATCATCAGGACGAGGTACAGGAAGTTAGAATCAAACTTATGTATGTAGGGACTTTTTGCACAGTACATAGCCAATTATGCTAATCAGAGGTACGGGGAAGGACAAACTAAAAACAAAAAGCAGTTCTAAATAAATTAGTTTTCAATCTAGATTTAAATGTGCATAGCTGTAGTGACGAAATTTATTTTTGGGGGGGGGGGGGGGTGGAGGGTCTTAAGGATTTGGCCATACTATCCAAAAATTCTATCATGAATCAATATATTGATATGTAAAATTTTAAAAAGAAAAGATAGTTACAAATTCCAAGTACAGGTAGTGCTCGTTTTACGCGGGAGTAGATGCATTCCTGAAGAGTGTCGCATAAAGTGAAAAAGGCGTTCAGTGAAACCAATTTCCCCTATAAATGATGATGTAACAATAAAGTTTGGCAAGATACGATGAATGCACGCGTAGTGAGATGGCAGGACTAATAACTGAGGGTACGTCACTGCGTGACTTATCACTCTACCGCTCAGCGGCGCAGCTCAAGAAAGTAGTCAACCGCTCAGAAACCGCTTCATAACCGTGTGCGATCTGCGTTATAACAGTGTGTGTTCCGTGTTCTAGCGAAAATGCGTTGTCTGAAAATGCATTAAACGAGGACGTGTTGGAACCGTGTGGTGCATTGATAACACAGCAAGAAGGGTCTGGGCTCGATTCCTGGTCGCTGTTCTGTGTGGAGTTTGTTCTCCCCCTGTTTTGCATGGGTTTCCCATTCCCTCTTAAGGTACCCGGTCTCCTCACTTAGTTAAAAACCTAATTCTGAAAATTTCCTGAAAATTACTCAATTGGGATTACACGCAGCATCAGCAACATCGGCCTCTACTATGAGCAAGAGTCTTCAGACATGCGTAATAATATTGTTGGGAATGTAGTTAAGCAGCATTTGAAGAATTCAGTGCCGGGAGCAAGAGAGCTTTGCACGTGGTTCTTATTGTTTTCAGGGAGCCACAGTCCAACTCTTCACCATCTCGGAGGAGCCCGAGGAAGCCGCCTCTGATGTGGCGAACCCGGAGAAGCCAAGGAAGAAAGAGAAACTCAAGAAAGCGCTCCGGGACAAGAAGGCGCGGGCCGCTCGCACTGCGGCCGACGTGCCACCGCCACCACGGCCCCTTCTGCTGGGCCCCAATGGGGCTTTGCCGGCCTCCATGGAGCCGGCCCCCGAGGGTTCGGTGTGGGCGGGAGGCGCCGAGCTGGGCGTGTGCGAGGTGCTCACCACCGTGCCGCTGCCGCCCGGCGTAGTCGCACCGCCTGGCGCCGAGGGCCGCATCAGCGTGCGCACGCGGATCTTCCGCTACCACGATGAGGCGGACGATGCGAGCGGGGCGCGCATTGCCACCGAGATCGTGCTGCCTACACCACCGTACCGGGTAACCATGTCGTCGTCGTCGTCATTGTCGTCGTCATCGTCGTCGTCTCTCCCCCCGCAAGCAGTGCCCGGGCGTGCCATGCAGTGCGTTTCATTGTGACCCGCGTTCGATTCCTGCTCACTGCCAACACCAGTGATGATTATCTGAAATGGTCCTGGGCCACCCCTAGGTCGACTCAGCCTCAAATAAGTATCTGGGCGGTGTGCAAAACATCTTCACTGGGGAGACAAAGGCGGCCAGGTGTGGTGCTGGTCACCCACCCCCTCGTGTGCTCTTTCGGTTTTCATAGGCGCTACTCGTTATCAGCACTTGCACCAATAGGCAACAAGAATGGGTGACAAAGCCTTTACCATTGCAGCACCAACGTTTTGGAAGAACCTTGTTTCCTCCCGTTAACATCGTAAATCTTCCTTCAAAACATATCCTGATGCAGAAGAAAGGTGCTGGAAACAGCAGGCACATTTGCAAATTTGATTTGTAACTTTGATCCTTACCCGTGTACCATCGATAGACACATTTTAATTTGCAATTTATTTCAGGTACTGCGTGTTGTCTTGGTGTGGTCTGGTACTGGTATTGTTTTGCTGCCTTACCCCAAGCTTGCATTTAGTTTTGAAAAGATCGACAGGAATTGGTGTACTTGTAGTTATACACTTGATTTATATTTATTTTATCTTGACTTTGCTTATCTTTTTTTATTTTGCACTCCGATCATTTTTTTGCATTGTTTGTTGTTACAACTTGCTGACCCGCCCATACTGGACATCTATGAAAAAGAGCTTCATAGCTCATCGGGTTCATCCACGATAAATAAAGATTCTGATTGTGAGCTGCCTTTGCTATTGCTGAGCCACCTCACTGGATGGATAACGATAACAATAATAATCACTGCAGCATTGACTCAAGAAATGCCACTCAGCCTAACGACGTTGGCAATTGGCTGTTAGGAGTGCTTAGGATGAATACACAGCACGTTGACAATGCTGATGTGAGTGACACATTTTAATATTTTGGCAAATTATGTAGCCGGCCAGGTGGTAGGGCCCTAGACCGGGCGGTTCCCAATCGGAAGGTTGCGAGTTCACATCCCTGGTTGGTGATTGACTCAGCCCAATCATCTCTCTAGGGTTGATAAAATATTTACCACTTTGTGGGGAAGTCATCATTGGTTGTCTTGTGTATAAATGTGCCGCGACCATAGGAATGTAGAATGTTCACTACCGGCAATAGTTTGTGTGGTTGTGTATCTATTTGATTTAGAGGCACTAGAAAGGCAGCCAGAACTGGCACTACTAACAACTTGCCCATGCTCTGTTGTCCCATATTGGGATGTCTGGCCAATTCTGTCGTTTGGTGGGGGTTATGTGTGCTGTGCACGCGCAGAGTGAACAGGGGTACGAGGTGGAGACCAGGCTCATACAGGACACTACGAGGACGGGCGCCAGGGTGGCGCGCGAGATCACGAGTGAGTCCAAGCCACCACCGCTGCCTCAACGCAGCTGCTGAGCACAAAGATCCCCCCCCCCCCCGTAACCTTTACAGACTGCTTGGGCAAGTGCTGTTAGCGAATATGAAGCAAGGAATGGTACACCAGGGACTGGGTGCCCAGCCCCATGCCTGGCTGCCTTTTTCTCGCTCGTAGACATGTTTTACACACTTCACCAGGTCCTCATTTGAGCCTGAATCAACCTAGGGGAGGCCCAGTACAGGTTCAGATAATCATCACTGGTGTTGGGCAGTGAGTGGGAATTGAACACGGGTTGCCAGGTTTGTAGGGTAGGGCGCTAATCGCTGTGCCACTGCTCCCCACACACTGAGACACGCACATTGATAGTACACTGACACATCTACACTAACACACACTGACCCCACACACTGACCCCACACACTGAAACACATCTATACAAAAACAAAGATGCCTTGTATAGGCTTAACAGATTGTAGGAATAACTGCTGTTGGCGGGCACCTCTGAAGGCTGGAACCGGCACATGAGGGGATGGCTGGCTAGCACCATGCCTGGCCACCTTTGTCGATGTTTACACAATGCACCAGGTACTTATTTGAAGCTGATTCAACCTAGGAGAGGCCCAGGACCGGTTCACATAATCGTCACTGCTGTTGACCGTGGGATCGTAGCGCAGCTCGCTAATGGCTGCACTACCACTCCCCTTCACTACTGCTAAGAACAGGCCCAAAACGTGAAGCTGCCAGCAACAAACAAACACAAGTTGTACTAGATAGCTGTGAGGGTTTGCCTGGGATGAGTGGTGGGGGTGCTGGTTCGGACGCCACGCTCACTCTTATAGACGCAACCCAGGGGTTTGTTTAGGCTCTGCAGACTCTGGGTTGGAGTAGAAGACCAAAGGCGCCAGGCAAAAAGGGACCACCACAACTGATTTAAAACAATTACGAGTTTAAGTCTTTAATGACTACAAAGGAAGGCTTATAACCATAGAAGTATACGTTAACAACCACCGGTGGCAAAAGCAGGCAAAGCAACCCCAGGTTTAACAGTACCAACACGACCTCAGACCTGATGTCAACTACAAGAAAATTTCACCCTACGAGGTGAACACTAAATGCCTCAAGCATGACTCAATTTGATAACAGTAATCACAAAGCACATATCCGACGCACTTAAACTTCACGAACCTTGACATAACAGAACAGGAAGAGACGCACGCAAATAACAAAGTCCTTCGATGAATTTCCATGCCAGTTCACACGCAGTCATCAAATAAAGATCTTCTTGCTGAGAAACTGTCTTGAAGTGGGTGCATTGCTCAATAGTCCGAATGTGTGTATGGGAGTGAGAAAGTGTTAGTGTGAAGATGAGAGTATTGAGGTAGGTGCAAGGGAGTAGCTCACAGCCCTTGCAAATCTTTACGGTTGCTCACAACCTCCAACTGCCGTCTAGGATGCCCACCGGTGCCAAGGTCACCAAGGAACTGACACCAAGGTAGCCCTCCTCACGATCCTGGTCACCCTTGATCAGCGCTCCCTGCTTTGCTGCCCAGCTCTCGAGTTGTCAGGTGTTCAGCCTCACAGTGGCCCTCCTTGTAGGTTGTGCATGCCTGAAATTCAGCCTGCTTGGTGGGACTCAGTGGCCCACCACTCTGACAATTCTCCGCAGCCTGGATAAAACCACCTTAGAGGCTACACCCAGGTCCAGCCGGCCCTCAGAACTTACGGTTCCACCATGCTGGCTAATGCTGCCTCGTGCACGTGGCAATGGTTGCCTTCAACAGCCCTACCGGAGCTCTTCACCTAGCTCTGCTGGTTGGTTGAACAACTGCACGGTCTCACCACAGAGTACTGTCCAGAAAAGAAAATAATGCTCCCAATCAGCCGCCTGCGCGGGCAGGGTGCATTAAAATAAAACAAAAAATATCTGCCTAGCTCTCCTGCCTCTGCGGTCTCCAGCAACCACCATCCCCCGCCCACACCTTTGGGTGTGCAGTCCCTTTTTAATCCTTTCCTGGGGCACCACCCCCAGCCTTTTCCTCACTCATTCACACCTCTGCCCTCAGATGCGATGCCTATCTCCACCTCAACCCACCTCAGTCCATGGGAGCCACCAATCCCACCTTATGCCTCTGCCCCCCCCCCCGTCACATCATACGACCCCACATGGGCATTACCACCTATACGGTCACATCAACAGTTATGAATTATTATTTTTCTTGATAAAAAAGTCACACATGACCACAAATGTTAGGATGAGTGTGGCCATGTTAAAGTAGAGTCCTGTACTCAATTGATTAATTGGAAGATAACTTTTCAGCATTGCAATGTTTTTGCCAATACCAAGTACATTCTCTTTTTATCTATTGGAGGAAATCGAAGAACCCGGAGGAAGCCCATGCAGAGTTGGGGGAAGAACACACAAACGCCACGCAGAAAGCTCCTTAAGCCAGAAATATAACCAAGGAGCTTTGTACTGTGAGGCACAAATGTAACCACTGCGCTACCGTGCCGCAATTCGAATTACTCTAAATGCTACTATTGGACAGCAAGTCCTCATTTAACGTGTTGAACTTATGAAGCAAAAATAATTCCTCATAAATAATGTAATGCTAAAGTTTGGCGAGATATGATGTACTACGCGCACGCGTACTCTATCACTGTACCGCTTAGCCGCACAGCTCAAGAAAGTAATTCATCGTTGACTGCTCAGAAACCGCGTTATTTATAACGGTGCATGTTCCGCGTTGTGTGAAAGTTCCCTAATGGAAGAAAATACTTTGTGTGAATGCTGCACGTTAAGCAATGACTTATCGTACTTGAATATTTAATTTAGGTATGACAGAGTAATAAACCTAAGCCATCTGGTGGATTGGGAGTCAATGTTTAGTGTACGCTGGTGTGGTAATCATCCTATATGCACAGCAATCCTGCGGACGGTGTGAGTGTGAGTAGGCTACTGCGGTGACGGCACGGTGGTGTTGTGTTCGTCACCTTTCAACATATTCCCTGCTGTTTAAACATGAGTGCAATCATCTCCTGAAATCTATGATGACGTTTCTGTAAACCATTTTCAAAAGTACGGCAAGTCCTTGCTTAACGCGTTGGTGTTCACGCTGATGTCCAACCGATATCGCGACCATGCAGTTCTTCCATGAGGGAACACTTTAGCAAAATTCGGAACGCTCACCATTATAACACAACCAGCACTGTTATAACGCAGTTTCTGAGCGGTCGACTTTCTTGAGCTGCATGGCTGAGCGATATAGTGATACAGTACGCGGATTGATACGGTAATGCGGTAGTGTACCTTCAGCTCTTTGTTATCTCACTGCGTATACGTAGTACACCGAATCTCGCCAAACTTTATTTCTACATTATTTATGGGGAAATTGCTTTTGAATCATGCGGAACTATTCAGGAACGCATCTCTACGAGTGTGTTAAACAGTGACTAATTTGTCTGAGCCAACTTATGCTATTGCTAATTCATTTGATCGAAGATAGATTATTTTTCGTGTACCGTTGTCGATATTGTATGTAACGGGGTTATCTCTGCTCTGGTTCATATTCGGTTTTTGTTCTGATTTCTATTTTCTCGTTTGCTGAACTTAATTTTTACCCCATTGCTTGTTTCATTTTGGTGACCTGGGTCACTCTTGCAAATGATACTCTATCCTGGTCTCTTGAGTTCCACTCTGCCTGGTTACACCAAACCCTACATGACACTTGAGCTTCATGGTGCGACAGGCCGAGTGGAGAGCGATGCACGGAGCGGCAAAATCCCGAAGCAAACACGAGGCTCGCTGGGCAACTCGACGGAAGGTCTGCCAGGCTTGCCGGGTGGCCCTCAGCTAAGAACAGCAACGGACACAGACCACCCACAGCCGGTAACAGCTCCCTGTCTAAGCGCACGTACATTAAAGCCTGTGCTGGACTTGGGCACAAGCTTAGTAAGCTACAGCTTATTGCCCCACATGATGAGGGGCCTCTAAATCCGAAAACAAATGAAGACAACTATAATTATAAGAATAGGTTTTACCCTTTCTGGCAATAAAGCAGGTGTTAAGATGTTCAAACACCAACCAGAAACCGTTTGCAAGGAATCTTGGTTGCATTAACCACGTATACTTATGCTGAACATGCAAACAAAAATATGCTCTTGTAATATATGCATTGTCTTTGAAACGGATTGGTCTACACCAGAGACAGCCTTCTTTAGGGCCTAGTTTCAGCCAGTGTTAGACCAGAGAACCCCAAAAGGCAAACAGCACAAAGACAATGCACTATCAGGGCATTTATAGCTCGGTGAGCAGCTACAACATGGAACCTTACTTGCCAGTATCAAGGGATAAGAATAGGTTTTACCCTAAGAGTATAAAATAGGGTAAAACCTAGTCTATAAATGCCCTGATAGTCTCTTGTCTTTGTGCTGTTGGCCTTTTGGCGTTCTCTGGTCTAACACTTTTGAAAAACTAAGGAGAGAGGGAAAAAGTACTCTCTAATACGGTTATCTTCATTCCAATATGACAAAAATATACAGACATTGACGTAGCTTACAGCCCCAGCAATGTTATCATCCGGCCCTGATTAAGGCTCCTGTATTCTTAGTCAAGGCTCGGCTCAGGATTTGCTCTGGCTCGAGTGAGCTGGCTCAAAGCCACCGTGCTTAACTTGAGCCAGCTGTCAGTGTGGGTGGCATGAGGCTGAACCAGAACCAGGCCATGGCTGAGCCGCTGACTCGCGCGAGCGGCTCAAGCCCGAGCCGAGCCTGAGCATTGGAGGCCAAGCCAGAGCCGAGTCTGGACTGAAGATACGGTCCTAAAACCCCGGCTCACCGGACTAATTGGGGGAGTCCTGGTCCCGCTAAGTTTACAATTTTCATAAACATCAATGAAAAACAAGAATGTGGTGTGCTGTGAATTTTTTGGCGAGCGCTCGGTGTCGGCGCATGCAGTGAGACGGCTTGTTGCGGGGATGTTCATCATTGGAATCCGGCAGGCCACTCTGGTGAACGCTGCGGTGCATATCCGCCATAAAATACCACATGCTGTCTTCTTCAACAGTGGACGTGAACGATCCTGTGACGTCGTTAGATAAGAGAAGGCTGCGGTGTGCTGGCGGCATGGTCCAAGTTGACCGAGTTTGACAAATGACACCGCAAATTACTCAATTGTGATCAGGCGCACAGCAGCAGCAACATCGCCCGTTACAGTATTGCGAACGCCTGGCAGGACCCTCCTGACAAGAGGCTCATATCCAGACATGGTGGGAGCTATCTGATTAGTGTCTCAATTCTAACGCTCTACTCTTATCTGTTGTATGGAGTCTAGTGAATCCGGGCACTTGGACATATTTTAATTTGAAGTTAGAAATACACTGAAGCTTTCCTGGGTAAACACAAATCTAAATAATAATTATGATAAACAATTGTGCTATATATAGACCCTGACAACTGTATATTTGGAGTTTGCATTTTCTCTCCGTGGATTTTTTTCTCCGGGTCCTCAGGTTTTTCCTTCCACATGTAAAAACATAATTGAGATGTATATTATTTTGCTTCCTTAAATGTTCAAGTGAAAAGCCACTTTGTTGAGTGATCATTTGTGGCCAGGTCACTTCTGAAAAATAACTTAATACCTCAGTGGGCTTTGCCTCATCGGATTGGGATGGTTTAGTTTTATTTGTATCTGTTTGGGTTTTTTTTTTACCTTTCTCACACTACTATCATATTGTTGTATTGTTTGTTGTTGTCACGTTCTTACCCGTCCCTATTAGACATCTGTGAAAAAGAGCTTAATAGGTCATTGGATTCCTCCCGTATAAATAAAGATTCTGAATCTATTTCTTCATTACTGTGTTGGCGAACAGGAAGGCGGCATGACGGAGCCGGTGGGGAGCAGCCTCTCGGCAGGTGAGTCGCCTTGGCTCTTAAGTGGCGCGCTCGCCGCTTCGTGCGCAGCTTCGTGGATCTAATCCATTAGGCCGTCCTGGTTATCAATTCTTTTTTTCATTCACTACATAAACCCCATTGCGGTGGTGTGGTATTAATCATGAAATACCATGCACCGTCTCCCATTAGAGCAGAAGTTGAAGATCCCGTGACATCGTTTGAAAAGAGGCGGCCGCCGTGTGCCCGCGTCATGGTCTGTTAGAAAAATGACACAGTTAACAGTGTAACATTTTTTTAAATTTTTTGTTCCTGGGTAGTAAGTGCTATTTCCTAATTGCTTATTCCTCAAGAGTACAGAAAATAGCTATTATTCCCCACAAATCTTGCTTTTGTGACCAGGACAGTGATAATTTGAAATTTACCTATTTTCAAAGAGAAAACGGGCAAATTTGTGTCTTTACGTTCACATAACGTAAAAAACCAACATGAATCACAATTAACATGTGTTTATTCTAAAGTAATACAAAAATGACTACAAAGATGTAGACACCAAGCCGCACTACCACAGGCGGGACTGGCCACAGCGGACCAAGTTATCTGTGGGGAGGAACAATTTTGAAAAACTACTCCTAAATCTTTTGTAGTGTAGCGAGTCCAACTGAGTCGCAGACGTTATCTTGGGAGCAACACTATTTATTCACATAACAGTACGTAACATAACACAACCTACAGCCCACAGGCGATCCAAATGCTCATCAAACATGCAGCCAAAAACGATGACGTCATCTAAATATATCAGGCACGAATCCCACTGGAGATCCGCCAAAACCAATTCCATCAGTCTCTGAAAAGTGGCAGGCGCGGAATGAAGCCCCATCAGAAGTTAGTTGAACTCGAACAGCCCTTGGGGCATCCGAAAAGCCGTCTTGGGCCTCGAGGCCTCGTCAAGCGGAAACTGCCAAAACCTGGACAAAAGGTCGAGGGTCGAAAAATACCACGCGCCTGCCAGAGCATCCAACGAATCATCCATGCGAGGCAAGGGGTAGGCATCCGCGACTGACGATTTGTTAAGTTTCCTGAAATCAATGCAAAACCGCAGACTGTCGTGTTTCTTAACAAGGACAATCAGGGCCCCCCATGGACTGGTGGACGGCGAAATAATATCCGCGGCCAACATTTCATCTACCGCCACATGAACATGGTCCTTTTCAGCCGGACTCAGGCGATAAGGATTCTGGCGAATGGGGGCAGTATTTCCCGTGTCAATATGGTGGCTCAATAGAGATGTCCAACCGATATCAAATTTAGACTTTCTAATTATGTTGGAAAATTCCCGCAGGAGCGCCCTTAGCTTCCGCGTTTGGCCCGTGGACCCTGATGTTCCCACAACATCTACTTTCGGACACGCCGGGGACGCGTGAGCGATCACGGAACCCTCTTGAATAATCGTGTCAGACCCGGTGTTAAGGACCTGTATAAATGGCGGCTGGTCCTGGGAGACCAGCGTCTGTGCCGCAACCAGCGACATCCCACGACTGATTTTATTCGATGGACCAAGCACAATGCCGTCACTCACGGCATGCTCATCGAGCGTTTTTCGTAAACGAAGAGACGCTAGCATTTGCGCGCCGGGGGGGATCCGCACTGTGCGGCATGCAAGTGCCTGCACCGTAGCATTAGCAACATTAATGCGAGTCAGAGACGGAAGAAAGCCATACGCCGTCCCAACGGCAACTCCAAACATCCCTGATCGATACGAATTTTCAGGGGCATCTTGCCGAAAAAATCAGTCTCCAGTAGGCACGGGACAGCCAGGGCTGTGGAAATCAACATGTGGCCTGACAATTGGACATCGGCAATGCGCAACGCAACAGAGATCCGGCCTATTATCCCCAACGAACCGCCATTAGCGGTGAAACACGGAGCATCTACAGACTCCAAAACGCGACACCGGCGTGGCAAAATGTTATAAATCAACTCGGATATAATGGTCGAGGACGCGCCAGTATCCACAAGCATGCGCATGTCAACCCCCTCAACAAACCCGAGCACGGCCGACGACCCCGCGGTTGCCGCGACCACGCAACCTGCCAGCTCCGACCGCTGATCAAGTCGGAGCGGCCGCGCGTCGCGAACACGACCCGACTCCCCACGAACACGCGCGCGGCCCCGACGCACACCGGACCCCTCTGATGAATGAAGGGAACCCCGGGGCCGAGTGTGAGGTGCACTGCGACTCGCCTTAGGGGGTATGGAGTTGTAGGAAGGCGGACGTCCCAAGGCCCGCCGTAGAGGAACCCGGCAGCCCGACTGCACATGCCCCGGCAGGCTGCAGTTGTATCAGGTGACCCATCCGTCGCTGGAATGGGATGAAACAGACCTCGCCCGCCGCCGGTCATCCCACCGCCGATCACCGTCACCCCGTCGATCGGTGCCCTGCTGATGCAGCAAGCACGCGGACGCAGCCTCTCCGTCCGTGTGACCCTCGGGCCCCGCAAAAGACGCGGAGCATGCCACCAACACCTGTCACACTACAGGATCTGCTGCGCCTGGATACACCTGGCGATCTTGAGTGAAGAAACCTCCCCGCCATCGGCGGGAAGCACAGTGTGGAGATCCTTAGCGAGCTCCAACAACTTCTCAAGTATCCGTACGCGGATACGCAGCCTTCGCCAGCGCCAAGAGCGTACTCCTGTACGCGAATGCTGATTCAGCGCCACCTCCACCTCACTGCGAACTTCTGGCGAGTAATAGTAATAGGTTTTCCCCTTTTAACTGGCACAAAAACTGACACCTTTATTCAAGGCATCATGTTTGCAATAACCACAACACAAGCAGTCAAAATGCAAACAAAAGAGACAACTCTGATAATAATACGCACTGTCCTTGAATTTGATTGGTCCACACCCGAGACGGCTTTTCTTAGAGCCTAGTCTCCACTGGTGTTGGACCAGAAGTCGCCAAGAGGCGTACAACTCAAAAACAGCACACTATCAGAGTATTGAGGGCTCGGGGTGAGCATTTACATTTTGAGACCTCCTTTGCCAGTAACAAGATATAGTAATAGGTTTTCCCCTTTTAACTGGCACAAAAACTGACACCTTTATACAAGGCATCAGGTTTGCAATAACCACAACACAAGCAGTCAAAATGCAAACAAAAGAGACAACTCTGATAATAATATGCACTGTCCTTGAATTTGATTGGTCCACACCCAAGACGGCTTTTCTTAGACCCTAGTCTCCACTGGTGTTGGACCTCTCGGACGGCAGGATGGCGAGGAACGCCGGCCAAAGCATCGTCATCGAGAGTTGCGGGAAACGCCTTCAGCACGTCCGCCTCAGACCACCCTGCCACGTCGGCATTTGTAAGAAAACTCCGCTGGCGGCAACAAATTCTTTAATGAAGGGCAGCCAACGGCGGAGCGATTGAACGTCAAATGACGAGGATGTCCCCACTTAGAGCTTGGCGGGCTCCGTGCTCCCCTTGGGGGGCAAAATGGCGCCCGCGGGCAGCGGCGATGGCATTCCCGCCCTTTGCGAAATGGCGGCCAAGTCGCCTCGTTCAGACAGCTCCACCGCTCCTTCCTTTGCTGTCGAGGGGAAGGACTGCATCTCGACGAGGATGGAGGACGCCGCTTGGAGGTCAGCGAGCTCCTGAACAGAAGGCGAGGCGCCCGGCGCCCCGCGCCCCGGCTGCGCCCTGCTCTGCGGCCAGCGTCTCCGCTTCGTCCGCGGCAGCCGTGGGCGGAATCAGTTCCTCGTCATCTTCGTCGTCCGACGCAGTACATTAACTCTGCGACGTGTAGACATACTCGTCTACCGCTAGCTACAGCTTAGCAAGTTAGCCACTTCCGACACCAGTTGTAGTGAGTCCAACTGAGTCGCAGACGTTATCTTGGGAGCAACATTCACATAACAGTATGTAACATAACACAACCTATGTTCGAGTCTCAAATGCCCATCTAACCACGCTACGGCAGAACTAGACACGGTTCCCTATCCCGGTCTGGACCACAAGCTGGGTCCCGGACCGTGTGGCTAAAGGCCTCTTCTCCCCGACGTGGATCTTCGAACACCAACACTTGAAGAACCCCGAGTTCCTAACAGAGCTCTCATATGCTCCCGGGCTGGGGCTGGCTCTGTCCTCAGCCCTGCCTACCTTCCAGGCTTCTCGAGCTCCTTCTCAAATGTTCCCGAGAGCCCCTCGGAACCACGTGACCGCCCCTCGGCCCCCGTCCACCGGTGGCCTCCCTCCAGTATCGTCCGGTCACGTGACAACAGGTCAGCCAGAGTGTCATGCCCCAGAGTAACCCTGGCTGGCTGACGCTCCCTCTCGTTCACTCACTGGGAGCCGGCACCGCACACTGCTCGCGGTGCCTCCGCGCTAACCAGCGCTCACCCAACCACCGCAGTCCATAACCCGGGCTGCCCATAATCACAACGTTACCGGCCGTGACATCGCAAGCCCGGCTCCATACAGCAACAAGTACAGTCACTACATTAATATAAATACATGTTAATTTTGATTAATGTGTTGTTTTTCTCCGATTTTATGTGAACGAAAAGACACACATTCGCCCGTTTTGTCATTGAAAATAGGTAAATTTTAAAATATCACTATCCTGGTCAAAAAAGCAAAGTATGTGGGGAATAATAGCCATTGTCTGTACTTTTGAGCTATAAGAAATTACAAAACATTTACTACCTAGGAACAAAAATGGTGTTACATAGTGTAATCAACCAGCATCAGAATATTTATGTGGACTGGAGCAGGGGTCGGCAACCTGCAGCTCCAGAGCCACATGTGGCTCTTTGGCTTCCCCCTTTTGACTCTTTTGTTGTATGGTGCGAAGGTCTAGACATTGCTTCAAGCTGATTTGGATTGGCTGCAGTCCATCATGCGATGCCAAATATGCCTTCTTGGCATCCTATGATTTGACTTGATCAGAAAAATTACCATTGTATTTGCAAATTATCTCCTAGTGATTGAGAGCTTAGTTTGAGGGAGACGGCTGTCACTTTTTGCAAACGTCACCTGTCTTGATGAGTAAAATCCAGCAAATTGCGCACTACAGTTGGCGGTTGACGTTCGAAGTGGACTGTGACTCTGAAAGGAATGGAGCCACCCCCGTGGTTGCACGCCGTGGTTGCACCCCATGATCCGTGGAGCAAACAAATTACTCGAGACACCGGTGTATGGCAGCAAGAGCAGTTTATGCGAATGCTGTCGCAATAGGTCACACGTTTGGCGCAACGGCCCTCCGCTGGCTATGCATGATGAATTAACTAATTGCTGCTCTTTGGCTGCCCCTTTGCGGGCAGCCATTATATAAAAAAACGTTAATCCTAGAACATAATTTAACATAAACATAATATAGTAAATATGGCAGCGAATGGGCAACTATGGAATGTCTTGGTGACAACAAAATGTCCAACGGTCAAACTTTATTGTTGAAGAATAACTAAGGAGGAATTTATCTAAATATATGCAGTTGATTCCATCACCTATAATGTTTATATAGGTCAGAATTTGTAATTTTCTGTATACCTGCTGTATTTATATTTGTGTACAAGTAGCTGTGCATGTGATGCGGCTCTCGAATTATTTTGGTCAAAGACAAAAACTAAAATGATGGCTCTTCTTTGAAAGGTTGCCGATCCCTGCAGTTTTGGAATATGATGAGCTATGAAGCTCTTTTTCTCAGATGTACAGTAGGGGCGGGTCAGCAAGTTACAAAAACAAACATTACAATTAAACAAGAGTGTAAAAAAGATAAAAAGTTATCAAGTCACTCTATATAAATAAAAATGACGTATTATATATCTTGATTTGAAGCTTTCATGACTGCAGGAATCCATACTCTCTGGTTCTTTCGGTAAAGTCACGTAGATAGAAAGAATAATAAAAGAACACGACGTTTCGGTCGCAACAGCGTCCGTCATCAGGTGAGAAAGAATGATCTGCTGTTGTGGCTTTATAAAGGCAGCCACGACTCTACAAACCCCCCCTTCCCCTCCCTCCCGTGCCTATATAAAGCCACAACAACAGATCATTCTTTCTCACCTGATGGCGGACGCTTATGCTGCAACCGAAACGTCGTGTTCTTTTATTTTTATTTTCTATCTACGTGACTTTACCGAAATAACCAGAGCGTATACTGTATATCAGTGCAAATTGCATAAGTATATACATTCCTGCCGATTAGTCAACACCAAATGCCAGCTTGAAGCAAAGCAACAAAACAACAGCAAAGTCTCAAACCACACCAAGACAACACACAGTCCCTCAATCAAATTGTACATTCAAATTTTGCTATCGATGGTACATGGGTAAGGGTCAAAGTTACAAATCACAATTTTAAATTTGCCTGTCTACAGCACTAAGTTGAGAGACGCATAGCAATCGTAACTGATGACTGCAAAAATGTTGCAGGACCCTCCATAAATAAGTTCGATCAATAAAATTATCCTATTCAACCAAAGAGTATGGATTCCTGCAGTCACGAAAGCTTTAAATCAAGATTGAACCACCTCTACGAGGAGGGTTATCACACATCTGTTAGAGCTTTTAACAGACTACGAGACAAGAAGGCTCACATGATCGAGTCTCTCGTGATTTGTTTTATTTGATTTTATTTCTAACTACGTGACTTTACCGAAAGAACCAAAGAGTGGATTCCTGCAGTCACGAAAGCTTCAAATCAAGATATCCTATTCAAGTTGAATTAATAACACATGCGGGTGTATGCAGCATTGCGTGCACAGTAACTCTCAGCATTATCCACACCACCAGTTCACATTAACTGAATGTATGGCCATGTTGCCGTTCAGACCACCAACTCTCAAAGAGTTCAGCGAATGTGACCAACTCACCAGGCAGCAGTGAAACTCACAACTATTGAGCCACTTAATCCTCATTGAGACTCATCAGTACAATACAGAAAACCCTTCTCTCTGGCGGGTTTAGCTATTGCGGTTTTGTGGTTTTGCATCCCTGTGACTCGACCATTCACGGTTGACCCCGAGATTCCTGTACGCATCATAACTGCACTGCTCGCGATGATGCTTCCGCAGAAGAGCACACGGTGCCGTCTACTCTCAATCTTGTCTCTCAAGTGGCCCATCGCAGGTCCCACTGGGTGTTCCCAGACTCCAGTGAGGAGGCAGTGAGGTTCAGCCACTCGCATTTATTCTTCCTATAGTGTACAGTACTGTTCAGGGATACATGTACAGTACTTTTTTCATTATATACATTTACTGTACAAGTTATATTTAACACTGGAAAATGTTAATAATATTTTACCTTCAAAATAATTCCTGTTTGGGGTCATGCAGGGTAACAAAACAAAAGGAGGGGGGGTGGGGGTTGTATTACGAACCATGAACCAAACCCTATGTTACCCATTTGCCTTTGAGTTTGCGGATTTACAAATTGTGGCTATAATTATCAATAACGTAATCCCCGTGATGGTCACATTAACCAATGTTTTCTGCTGCCATATGCCTCTGTGAGCACACATCCACTTCTGGATAAGGCTAAGAGGTATTGTACATCCATTGCTGCACACGTATTTGTGTTGTTACATCTATTTGTTTCCAGCTGCATGAATGTATCTATCGATAAAACTGCTCAACCTGAGCTATTCTTTTATACCTGCATTATCCTTGTGTAGTGACATTGCTGGATGTCAACAGGCTGTGGGTGCAGTACCGGCCCTAGACGGGCACGGCATGCAGTGTAGCGATATCGCCGGATACCACAATGGTGTGGGTGTAGTACCAGCCCTAGAGGGGCCGGTGTGCGCTGAATAATAGCGCTAGATGGCACCACGCTTTAAGTGCAGTGCTGATCCTATAGGACAGGGTGTGTGGGTGCCGACCAAAGGATGAGGTTGTGTGAGGCCATGGCACTCTGGTTGACCCGGGAGGATACGTGACCAGTTAAGTTGACAAAGGGGCCCCAAGAGGGGGCTAGGGGGGGTCACATGATTGGGACCCAGATCCTTCCCGAGGATTCTGGAAGGTGGACATGGCTAAGGGCGGAGCCGGCCATGCCACAGAGAATATAAGTCGGGTCCCAACAGGGAGTAGGGTTGTTGTTCATCCTAGAAGAAACCCTTCGTCTACGTTCTCCGTTCAACGAGTCTCCAACACGTGGACCCGGGCTGAAGTCGTTGGTCCCGGTTCGTAGTAGCAGTTACGTTGTAACTAGTGTAGTTAGCCTGGTGGTCACCACCTTAGGTTGTTATTCTGTTAAGGGGAAGTTACTCCGTGTGTTAGAACTGAATAAATGTGTTGCCTCCAAGTCTACGTCTGCGACTCAGTTGATCCCCTTACACTTGTACTGTTCGCCTTTTGATGTTCTCTGGTTGGACACTGGTGAGACAAGGGCATTAAGTAGGCTGTATCTGGTGTAGGCCAATCTGTTTGAAAGATAATGCATAACATGATCAAAACAATCTTGTTTGCATATTTTACCACGGAAAATGATGTGTGGTAAATGCAGATCTTATCTTGAAATAGGTGCCGATTAGGTGTTTGAACATCTTCACCCCTCCTGTATTCTTGCTCCTGTATTGTTTTTGTCATTATATAGATTTATATATTGCCTTAATTAGAGGCACGATATAAATATATATTAGATAAGTTTATCACATCAGCCTACACTGAATGACATTAACTCCTATTTCACCAAATTGCTTTGCTCAATGACTCTCTCTATGTAATACCTAAATTAAATATTCAAATACATTGGTCGCAATGACAGTAAAATTGATCAAAAGTTGATCTTTTTTACCTTGAATGTTTCTGTTAAGCTAATTCATGTCGTTGCACCCTTCACAGGGAAGCGTCAAACCGAACGAGATAGCAAAGGAGATAACAATGAAGGAGATGCCGTGGAACCAAAATCTCTGGCGGACGGGCAGCTCGGAAGGCTGCAGGCAGACACAAGGGAGCTTGGCTCCCTCATGGCTCAGAAGGATTCGGAAATCGAGTCTCTGCTGGTGCAGCTGAAGAGCCGCGAGGAGGAGGCCCATAGCCTGCACGACCAGGTCTCCAACATGGCCTCTGAGCTGCACGCACTGCACGGGCAGATCCAGGAGATGGCACGGCAGAGGAGTCAGCTGGAGGCCACGGAAAGCGACAAAATGGCTCTGAGAAATAACCTGACAAAAGGGGACTTGAATGGTCCGCCAGAGCACTCTGCTAATGAGGCTGGGAATGGGATGCTCAGCAGCCAGGTCTCTGATAAAGATGCACCAAAGGGATCGGTGAACTCTCCCGGGAAGGAGTTTGGGAATGACGAGGGATGTGATGGTGACAATGATAATAATAGTAGTAACGTGGACGATGACACCAACGTCGGGGCTCTGTCAAAAATCAACGAGCGCATAGAAGAGCTTGAAGAAACAATCCGTGAGAGAGACAGCGAGATCGGCGCAATGGGTCGTCAGGTGCAGGAGCTGAGGCTCCAGCTGCAGGAGCGTTCCGCAATGGGGGAGGCGGCCGCCACCGCCTCCTCCTCCACTCAGACCGACGGTCACACCGACCCCGAAGCTCTGGTGGGCAGCGATGGACCTCAGCAGTCCCACACACGGTCGGTGCAGGCTGAAGGCGACGATCCGAACGCGGTGGCGACACGTCCGGTGGGAGAAGATGGCGGCATTGTGCAGAGAGGGCCCCCCGAGGGCCGCCCCATCGTGGGTGACATGGCCGGCGGCCTTCAGCTCTCAGCGAAGCAGCTGGGTCCTAGCAGAGAGAGCGACGGGCTCGGCTCCGAAGAAAACGCGCGGCAGCAAGACCCACGGGTGAGCCGGTCCACGTAGAGCAGCATCGTTCGTGATGCTCGTTCACCCAGGAATCTATCGCCAGGACTCAAAACTCTTTTTTCAGGAGGATCCTAACAATTCTTCTGTAGGAGGGGGCTCGATACTGCTGCTGCGTGTGATCCCAGTTAACCGGTGGCATAGCGGTTAGTGCACTATGCTACGAACATGGCAACCCAAGTTCGATTCCCACTCACAGCCAACACCAGTGACGATTATCTGAACCAGTCCTAGTACTCCCCTAGGTCGACTTAGCCTCAAATTAGTACTTGTTGCGATGTGTAAACATCGGCACTTTTCTTGGTGCAGTTTATATTCGCTCCTTCTGTTCTGCATGGGTTTCCTCCAGGATTTCTGATTTCCTCCTGTGGCTAATAAAAACCATACAATGTAACTGGTAGTGACCAATATATACCGATGATGCCAATTACTTAACTGGGATTACACACAGTAGCAGCAACATCTTGAGACTCAGTGAGGCTTTCGTGGGTAAACAACAGTCATGATTTTGATGGCAACGGCAGTGCAAGGTGCCGTGGAATGAGTTACCATAACACAGGTCATGAAAGGGCTATAGGGGAGGGAAGGAGTGGAGGGGAAAGGGAAGAAGAGGTGGCACTTTAAGAGAGGAAAGGAAGGAAGTTAAGGAGCAGGACTGCTTAATGTACGGTGAGGTGTCAAGTCTACAGGCATTTTTCGATTAAACGCTTTCGTGACTGCAGGGATTCATCTTCTTGGTTCTTTCGGTAAAGTCACGTAGAATGGAAATAAAATAATTTGAGTCTACGGATAGTAGACTCAAATATGGATAGTATTGAGTCTATAGGCAGTGTTGAGTCTATGGACGGTGCTACTTAATGTACAGGGGAAGTTTATTCCAGTGAAAGGGTACAAGGAGGGAAAAACATAATAGTAAGCTCCACGCAGTGTGCCAGTGTGTGACGGGCGCGGTCTGTGTCGACTCCGCAGCCACCGGAGGGCGAGGGCACAACCCACGGCGATGGCAGTGCAGATCGCCATGGAGACGTGGAGCAGCAGCCGGGTAGTGGCATGGAGGAGGAGGAAGACGAGGAGAGGTGCGAGGCTCGAGCACGTGGGGGCAGGGCTGGCGCGCCCGGCTCCAAGGGGCTCGCTGGCTCCACGTGGCTTGCTGGTTCCACGGGGCTCGCTGGCTCCAAGCGGCTCGCTGGGTTTAGGTCATCTCCACGTTAATCAAAGGGACACAACTCAGCTCGCTAGATAAGGCCTTCGTATGAGTTTTGTGAAGTACAGTAAGTCTCCATTTAACGCGGTAGTAGTCGATGCTGCGTTAAGTGACAAATGCGTAAAGCGAAAACAATTCCCCCATAAATAATGTCATGATAAAGTTTGGCAAAATACCATGTACTACGCACACGAAGTGAGACCACGGGACAAATAATTGAGGGTACACCACCACCTTACTCTATCATTACACATACTGTATCACTGTACCGCTCAGCTCAAGAAAGTAGTAGTCGACCGCTCATATATGACGTTATCACGGCACGTGTTGCGCGTTACAACGGTGCTCATTCCGCGTTTGAACGGCACGCGTTCCGCACTACAGTGGTTCACGTTCTGCGTTACAGTACATTTACGTGTTATCACGGCACGCGTTATGCTTTATAACGGTGCGCATTGTGTTGTGCGAAACGTGTTCCCGCATGGAAGAACCGCGTTACAGCAAAAACGCGTTGTCAACACCCCGCGTTGACCAAGCAGTGCGCCAAGTTGCAGTGCGCCAAGTTGCCATCGCAACTTGTTTACAGTTGAACTTTTATTTGTTTTAAAGCCTCAATGGAGGCAACGTCGGTGCATGAGTCACAGCCCTCAAGTGCCCTTGGGCAGAGCTGCGACTCCACCAGCACAAAGGGCAATAGGCCAGTGGCACAGCAGTGACAATTGCGCCTCACACCAAGAAGCACCTGAGTTAAATTCCAGACTCGTGCATCTTTCTGCATTACTTTTGTATTCTCTCCCCCTGTTCTACATGGGTTTTCTCTAGGTTCTCCGGTTTCCTCCCATGATTAAAACAACATAATAATAAATTCATTTTATCTAGCGTCTTTAATGCTAATTACATCCCAGGCATACAATGTAACTGGCATTGGTCAAACATCCTAATGATTAATGATTATGTGAAATTTACTCTATTAGGATTACACACAGCAGCAGGACCATTGCCGCTTAATGCAAAAAAGTTGGTAGGAACCTCCTGGAAAAACAATCGAGGCCGTCGTGGATGAACTCGCACAATCGTCAACATGGCGATGCCTCGCTCGTTCTGTGGGGGGCGCCGTAGTGGCTAGGAGATGTAATCTACCTCGCCTGTTTTGTAGGAGGTCGTGGGTTCGATTCCAACCCTGACGCCTGTATATTTGGAGCTTGCGTGTTCTCCCCGTGGTCCCGTGGATTTTTCTCCGGGTCTTCCGGTTTTCCCCTCCACATTTATAATCAACATGCATTTACAGTATTTGGCTGCTATACATTTCCACATGATAAGCAACTTCATTGAGCTATCATTTGTGGCCAGGTTGCTTCTGAAAAAAAGCTACATAGCTCAGTGGGCCTTATCTGGTAAAATATTTTTTTATACATTTTTTTTTTAAATTATACAGTAAACCCTTGTTAATTCGACACATGGGGCTCTGGCTTTGCCAAATTATTCAATATTCCGAATGATATACAATGGCACTCCCCAATGCATCCTGCCCCAATAAAACAAAATCTAAAATCTAAATTTGTTTTCCAAAAACAGTAACACTTATTCTTAGTTTTTTCGGTAAAGTCACGTTGAAGAGAAACAACAAAATAACAAAATATATATAAAACAATAAAAAAAATTCTCACGACGTTTCGACCATAACTCAAACGGTCATCATCAGGTGTGTCGGTTTGCATAAATTTATTTTGAAAACGGCATATTTATTTATTTATATATATATAAAAAAATAACGTTTGCGTCACGCGCAACGATTGGCAGTTTGCCCAGGACTAGTCTATCTATTTTTTGAAAAGAGGAGGGGGGAGACGAAATTTGTTTTTATGTATGCTGTCTGAAAGCCACTGTAAGCGTGAACAATCAATCAAGAACTGAAATGATGTATCAAATCTTTCCAATGATTGCTAAGATAGAATCCATCTTCTCGGTTGAAATTGTCTCTGTGCTTGTATATGTGGATAGCCTCATGAACGAATCTCTCATGGAAGCCAGATGGCTTACAAAGAACCTCCGTCTTGGAAAAGTCAATGGCATGTGAGCCTACTGAATTAGAACAATGATCTGCTACGGCCGAGGTGTTGGTCCTACCGTGTTTAAGGTCTGCTTTATGTTCACGAATGCGGTCCGAGATATGGCGTTTGGTTTCTCCAATGTAACTACTACCACAGAGGCAACTTAGTTTGTAGACACCAGGGTATTGTATGTCCGGAATCACATCTTTTACAGACGGAACCAGATCACGGATTTTATGTAATGTGTTGAAACGGACCTGGATCTTGTGTTTATTCAAGATTTTGGAGATCTTTTTTGTGATCCCAGCAATGTAGGGTAAAGTGATGGTTTTGAAAGGCTCCTCAAGAGGGTTCTTCTTCATCGTTTGAGTGATAGCTTTGCGGATTGTATAGTCGGAGTAACCATTAGCCCTAAGAGCTTGGTGTACGTGCTTGAGTTCACTGCTTATGTGTTCCTGGTCGGATATGCATTGGGCTCTATGATACAGAGTCTTGATGAGAGAATTCTTCTGTGATGGATGGTGGTGGGAATCCGGTTTCAGATAAGCATCCGTATGGGTAGCTTTCCTGTAGACAGAGTGGCTCATTGAACCATCAGGTCTCTTTTTAATTAGGACATCCAAAAAAGGTATCTTGCCATCTATTTCGACTTCCATGGTAAATCTGATGGCTGGGTGTATGGAATTGATGTGGTCGAAGAATTGGTCTAGAGCAGGCCGGCCATGTGGCCAGATGACAAAAGTGTCATCCACGTACCTCTTCCATAAGGTTGGGCGCAGAGTGGCAGTCTGGATGGCGTCAGTCTCAAATTTCTCCATGAAAATGTTAGCTATAACTGGAGAAAGGGGGGAGCCCAGTAACACTTACCATCAGTAACCAGCACCACAGGTGAAGAAGGAGGATGTGATAGGTGACAAATGTTTTGGAGGAGGGCTTAATGCACTTAGTATTCACTTACTGTACTGTATGTTCACTTTTATCACTAAATTATAACTTAAACACCAAATTACACTAACCTAAACTTCAATTTTTTTACTTAAAGACTACTTTTTTTACACTTTTACACCACATTACTCGCTGTCAGACGACATCAGCTGATGTGTCACTTGACTGCTGACAGAGGTGTCTGTGAAAGAATATCCAGAGACTAAAGACACTGCACTTGGAGGCTTCATTGCTAGTATGATGTTGCGAACGGCGTCATTCTACATGTATGCCGAAATTGGACCATTCAGTACGGCAATTCGGCTCATGCCAAATCAGAATCAGAATCAGAAAGGGTTTTATTCGCCATGTAAGTTCACACCGACACGGAATTTACTTTGGCAGGATGGTGCATACATTCAACATATAGGAATCTAAAATCTTAAATAAGTTTTAAACAAGTCTTACTATAATAATAAATTACTAATATACAGTATTTGCTGAAAGTGCAGCTGTGCTGAATTCTCCCCAATAGCAAATTATCAAATACCGAAATAACGAGGTTTTACTGTCGTTCAATGTAGTGTGTAACGACGCTGCTGCCCGCCCTCGTTGTGTCTCTGCTCGGACAGGTTCCATCGGCGCCTCCTGGAGGATGAGGATGTTAAGATGCTGCTTACTCGCATCAGGCAGACTGACCAGGAGCTGGTTCACGTCAACTTACAGCTCGCCCAGGTACTAGCACAGGGAACTGCGACATGGCGATGGATGTGGTGGTTGTGATAATGAGTTGCATTTAACAGAGCGCTTTGCGCGTGATAAGAGAAACATGTGTCGCTTCTCATTTCCAATGTTAAAAGGACACCGCCAATAACAGCTGTCCCTGTGCAGCACAAGGTGACTGCAAACGGGAGTTTGTCAGTGCGAGGGCGTCACACGCTCAACCATAATTAATTCCGTCATGATGATTACCGCAATTCATGGTTACACAGGACAGCCTCAAGACTCATCAGCAGGGGGCAATGTTGCTGCTGGTCTATGTGATTTCAATTGTGTAATTTTCAGGTTTTCAACATTTGCGATGTTTGGCCAAACCATGTGTGTTTATGCCTTGCCGTGTCAGAGTGCTTTACACGCGATAAGCGACTTACACCGCATCTCTAACATTTGAAGAGGCGCTTCCAGTAACAATTGTCCCTGTACGGCACGAATTGACTCTGCATGTGGCCTGCAAATGTCTCCTAGTCGTAATCGTTTTGTCGTCGTTGAGTCATCGTCATGTCACCGTCGCGTCATGTTGTGTCCATGTCATCGTCGTGTCATCTTTTTGTCATTGTTGTGTCCGCGTCATTGTCTCCTCATCGTGTCATCTTTGGCGTGTTATTCTGTTGTCGTGTCCATGTCGTCGTGTCCCATGTCGTCATCGTGTTGCCGTCCTATCATCGTTGTATCATTCGCTTTAGCAGGGCGCTCCTCTAGGGGACAGTAGCCTGCTGAGCCAGCTGCTGCGCCAGTTGGCGGGGCTCACGGAGCACGTGTGCTCACTCACCGCCGAAAAGGCGGCCCTGCGCCGGACCGTACTCGCCATGGAAAGGGAGAATGGGCACATTGGGAACGCCCACCCGGCACGACGGGCCAACACGGAGCCTGGTGGCCACGTGAGTGACGGCAGCATGTGAAGTGGGGCATCCCTGGTGGCAGCTGTCCCTGTGCGGCACAAGGTGACTCGGCACCTAGCCTGTGATGGAGCATTAGTCTGCCAGTGGGGAGTAGCGATGACTGCTTTGTGTGATGCAACTTAGCACCGTGTGCTGACATCACGGTCCAAATTTTTGAAAATTCGAAACATTACCTGCAAATTCAGAATCAGAATCTTTATTTAGATTGGAGGAATCTGATGAGCTATGAAGGTATTTCACAGATATCCAGTAGTGGGTGGTGTCAGAAATTTACAACAACAAACAATACACAAGATTAAAGACGATAGGAAAAAGGTAAGCAAGTCACTAAAATAAAAACATTTAAATAAAGTATATAAGTAAAAATTGCATGAGTACATTAATCATATGTGTTGTGGATTGTGCAGTTTCCATGAATCCTGCTCTGTATAAAAAAACATCAATTGTTTGTCTCATCATTATTGTTTTAACTTATGTTTTGAATAAATTGAGGTCATCTCCATGCTGAGAGTTTGCCCAGCGAGTAGGATGTGTGGGCGATGGACTTCTGATCTGTGCCTTGACCCCCCGCAGGCCAGTGGCCAGCCGGGCGTGGGAGAGGCTCACGATGGGAGACACGTGCAGGAGGAAGAGGAGGAGCGGGAGGATTGTGAGCAAGACCCTTTTGAGTCTGGATGCATCCCTACGCCGTCCGTGCCAGCTGACAAGGTACGAGAGTCACTGCCTCTTGATTTTATGAACAAAGGTAAGTTTTTCACAGCAGGGGGCAATGTTGCTACTCCTGCTGTGTAATCCGAATTGGGTCATTTCAAGATGATTTTCTCAGCATTGGGATGTGTAGGCAATACCAACTACAGTCCTCCCGGAGATGCGCCCAGCCGCTGCTCCACGTCACATTCCCAGTTGGGATTGATGCAGAAAAATCATCGCTCCCTCGCCACGAACACCAATGACGATTATCTGAACTGGGTCTAGGCCTCCCCTAGGTAGAAACAGCTTCAAATGCGTTCCCAGTGCGGTGTGTCAAACATTGCCACTAGGGGAGACGAAGGTGGTGTGGTGTTGGCCACCCAGCCCCTCATGTGTCGTGCCGGCCTTCATAGGCCCTGCTACTCACTAACACCACTTACCCCAACAATTTGTAAAGGCTACAATGTACCTTTGTCTTGACGGCACGTTTCCGGCTGCGTGTCTGGTGCAGTTTGCCGAGGTGTACGAGCAGTTCCTGCAGAGCGAGCGACACCGGCGATCACTCATCTTCCAGAAGCAGTACCTGCTGCTCGCGCTGAGCTGGGAGCTGGGGCGGAGAGACGGTGGGGGGGGGATGACGGCGATGACAGCGACGGCGGGGAGTGGCACGGCCCTCAAGAGGCTGCGCACCGCCGTCAGGGCCGTCATGGCTGCACGCAGGTAGCGGAGGCGCCGCCACCGCCCGGTCGGGAGGGGGTGGGGAGGGGGTGATAAGGGGGGGGCGGTGAGGGGGAGGAGACGGGAAGGGGGGCAGTAATGGGTTGTCGGGGAGAGGGCGGGGAGGATTAGGGGCGTTGAGGACAAGGGGCGGGGAGGGGGGGGTGGGGAGGGGAGGGGGCGGTGAGATGGCAGGGAGGTGGCGGCGGGGAGAGGACGCTTCAACCAAGCGGTGTCGAGGCAGCAACAGTGATGGTTGTTGTGAAACTCCCTTCCTGTGGGCGTCGAGGTGCCCAACCCTGGCTTGCCAGGAGCAGACGGTACAGCTAGGGGACTGATTGCCGTCTGTTTCCATCTGTATGGGGAACAAGTGTTTGCCCCCCTTCCTCTCAGATGTGTGTGTATTCATTGAAGCTCTGAATTCACACGATATAATAAACACTCATTAATTGACTGAAAATACATTTAAAAAATGCAGAACCTTACTGAAAAAGACTTCTATGACTCTGTATGCCTTTCCTGGATGCATATAAAGAGCAGTGCAGGGGTAGACGCACGGCCACGTATGGTTCTGTGCTGGGCTGTGGAAGCTGGGTCATGCAGCCGAGCCACCGTGTGCTGCCGAAGCATCTTATGTTTTTTTCCGGATAGAAGGGGCTAAATGGTCTCGGCATGGGCTAGAGAAAGATGGGCTGATACGGTACAGGAGGATGTGGAGCTGAGTGGACTTGCTGAAAATCAGTTCCAGCCATGTCAAGATCAGCCTCTATGGAAGAGTCTCATGAAGGATGCTACTGGGCAGTTGGAGGCAGTCGCCCTCCAACAACAGCAGAGGGTGAAGGAGCGATGCTCACAACAACAAGCAGAGCACCAGGCGGCTAAAATGCAGCGAATTGCCACAGTAAGGGACATTAGGTGGTGCATCTGCCAGTCATAACAGTCAGTGTACCCATGGCACCTGGGTCTGTCCTGTGACCTCCTGCCAGCGGGGCTTCGACACTTCACGTGGCCTCGGAATGCACCTGGCCTGGCACAAGTCTTGTGGTGATATTACCGCCTCTTCATGGCTAATGGCAGATGCTGTTGGTGTTGTTGGTTTTGTGCTATCGTGTGTGATGCCAATTTCCCCGGCAGGTTTCAGCTGCAAGGCCATGACAGGCAGCTCTACTACCAGCTCCCAGGTAACACTCATTATTATTGAGACTTGACCCTTCCCGGCAATACTACAGGAAGGTGTTAAGATGTTCAAATACAAAATAGATGCCTATAATAACAAGGCATCAAGTCTGCATTAATCACACGTGCTTGTTGTAAAACATGCAAACAATGTTTGCATTGTCATTGAAACTGTCTGGTTCATGCAGACTTGATGCCTTGCAATAGGTGTCTATTTGGTGTTTGAACATCTTAACACCTCCAGTATTCTTGCAGGATCAAAGCCAATTCTTTGTTCATAATTTTGATACCTGCAAAAAGGGTCCCATCCATCTAACTGCTCAACCTGAGCCATTAATGCTTTGATATTTGCATTGTCCTTGTACTGTTTGCCATGTGGCATTCTTTGGTTTAACACTGGTGATACAACGCTATAAAGGAAGCTATATCTGTTCGTTCATTCATTTCTCAATCCGCTTGTCCTGGTGAGGGTTGCGGCGGCAGCATGTTGAGTAGGGCGGTCCAGACCTCCCTTTTCCTGGCGACAGACTCTAGATCTTCCTGGGGAATTCCCAGACGTTCCCAGGCCAGCCGAGCAACATAGTCCCACCAGCGTGTCCTCGGTCGGCATTGGGGTCTTTGCCCAGTGGGACGTGCCAGGTAGAGTTCCAGGGAGAGTTTACTGGGGGGAATCATTAACAAGTGCCTGAACCACCTCCACTGACTCCTCTAAATCCAGATGAGCAGCGGCTCGACTCTGAGGCCCTCCTGGATTACCAAGCTCCTCACCCGATCACAGAGAGTGAGTCTGGCAACCCTGCAGAGAAACCTCATTTTCGCCCCTTGTACCCGCGATCTCGTCTTTTTGGTCATAGGTGAGGGTGGGAACGTAGATCGACTTGTAAACCAAGAGCTTTGTTCGAGAACTCAGCTTTCGCTTTACTAGCATGGAGCGATACAGCGCCCGCAACACAGCAAATGCCACACCGATCCGCTGGCAGATCTCCCGCTCCCACTTACCATCACTCACGAAAGAGACCCCGAGGTACTTAAACTCCTCCACTAAGGGCAGTTTTTCCCCCCTAATCCACCATCTCCCGGGAGTGAACCATGACCTCAGATTTGGAAGTTCTGATCCTCATCCTAGCCGCTTCACACTCGGCATCAAACTATTCAAGTGCACGCTGGAGATCACAAACTGACGAGGAAAAGAGGACAACATCATCTGCAAAAAGCAGCGATGCCACCTTCAGGCCCCTGTACTGGATACTCTCCATGCCTCGGTTGCGCCTTGGTATCCTGGCCATGAAAATCACAAACAGGAGTGGAGACAAAGACGTACCCTTGGCGGAGTCCAACACCCACAGTGAAAGACTTTTATTTAACATCAAGAATACGGACACAGCTCTCACTCCAGGACTAGAGGGACTGGATAGCACACAAAAGTGGTAACTGTACATCATACACCTGCAGCACCTACCAAAAGACATTGCAGGGAACACGGTCATATGCCATCTCCAACTCTACAAAGCAGAGGTAGACTGGAGAAGCATACTCCCATGACCCCTCAAATATCTGTGAGAGGAAAAACAGCTGGTCCATTGTTCCATGACCCTGACAGAATCCACATTGTTCCTCCTAAATCTGAGGCTCGACCACCAGGCATAGCCTCCTGTCCAGCACTCTGGCATTGGCTTTACCTGGGACACTGAGGTGTGTGACCCTCTATAGTTGGAGCACACCCTCTGGTCACCTTTCTTAAAAATGGGAACCACGAGGTACTGTACCTGCCTTCCATGCAACATTGAAGAGGCTTGTTAACCACGACAGTCCTGCACTGTCCGGCACTTTTAACAACTCTGGGCGAATGTCATCCATCCCAGCAGCTTTGCTGCTATGAAGGCCCTCAACTGCCGCAGTGACTTCAGCAAGCGTAATGGATCCGACCCCCCAGCTGTTTCCAGGGCTACCTCCTTAGAAGAGGGCATGTCCTCAAAGTGTTCTTTCCACCTCTCGACTATCTCCTTTTCGCAGCTGCATCGACAATTGAGGTTTTGAACATCATTCACTTGGACTCAATGTCAATGACCTCCCCTGGAGTGTAGAAGTTTTCCTGGAGGTGGTAGTTGACACCTTTGTACACTGGGTCTTCTGGCAGACATTCCCAGAAAACCCGCGCTGTTATTTTGGGCCTTCCACATCTATCTGGTTGGTGCCCCAAGCATTGGATCTAACTTACCACCAGGTGGTAATCAGTTGACAGCTCTGCCCCTCTCTTCACCTGAGTGTCCGGAACATTTGGACTTAGGTCCGATGATATGACTATAAAGTCAATCATTGACCTTCGGCCTAAGGTACTTTGATACCAAGTACACTTATGAGCATCCTTGTGTTCGAACATGGTGTTTGTTATTGACATTGTTACTAGTGCAGAATTCAAATAATATCTCACCATTTGGGTTCAGATCAGGGGGGCATTCCTCGCATTCACGCCTCTCGAGGTATCTCCATCATTTCCCATATGAGCATTGAATTCACCCAGTAAGACTATAGAGTCAGTAGGCGGCACTCTATCGAGCACTGCACCCATCGTCTCCAAGAAGGCCGAATACCCTGAACTGCTGTTCGGTGCATAAGTACAGACAACAGTCAAAGTTTTCATTTTTGAAACCCGAAGTTTCATTGACGTGACCCTCTCATCCACTGGAACAAATTCCAACGAACAGCACCCAGCCAGGGGCTTGTGAATATTCCCACACTCACCCGAAGTCTCTCACCAGGGGTTACTCTGGAATAGGAGAGACCACCCCTGATCGAGAAGTTTGGTTTCAGTGACAATGCTGTGTGGAGGTGAGACCGATTATATCTAGTTGATACCTTTCCACCTCTTCCACCAGCTCTGGCTCCTTCCTCCCAGTGACGTTACATTCCACGTCCCAATAGCCAGTGTCCATTGCCAAGGTCCAGTCTGTCTCCCTGCCATACTCGCATCGCACCCGCCGCTCACCCTTTGTCCTGCGGATGGTGGGCCCACAGGACTGTATCTGGTGTAGGCCAATAAATTTAAAAGAATGCATATATTTTTTTATTTAAAGCTATTCGTGACTGCAGGGATTCATATTCTTTATTCTTTCGGTAAAGTCACGTAGAAGGGAAACAATACAAATATAAAACAATAAAATTCTCACGACGTTTCGACTGCAACACAAGCAATCATCATCATGTGTGAAAATCACAGAAATTTTGAAAAAAGTGGCGTTTTTTTCTTAATGTTAGCACCACGGAGAGCGATTTGGCAGTTATTCAGATGGACGAGTCCATCTATGTTCGGAAAAGAGGAGGCAGGAGACGAAGAGAATGGAATGCGATCTGAATGCCACCATAAGCGTGAACAATCAATTAAGACCCGAAATGGTTTATCAAATCCTTCCAATGATTGCTAAGCCAGAATCCATGTTCTCGGTTGAAATTGTCTCTGTGTTTGTATATGTGGATAGCCTCATGAACGCATCTCTCATGGTAGCCAGATGGCTTGCAGAGAACCTCTGTCTTGGAGACGTCAATGTCATGTGAGCCCACTGAATTATAACAGTGATCTGCCACGCCAGAGGTGTTGGTCCTACCGTGTTTTAGGTCTGCTTTGTGTTCACGGATGTGGTCCGAAACATGTCGTTTGGTTTCTCCAATATAACTACTACCACAGAGGCAACTTAGTTTGTAGACGCCAGGGTACTGTATGTCCGGAATCACATCTTTTACAGACGGAACCAGATCACGGATTTTATGTAATGTGTTGAATCGGAACTGGATCTTGTGTTTATTCAAGATTTTGGAGGTATTTTTTGTGATCCCTGCAATGTAGGATAAAGTGATGGTTTTGAATGGCTCCTCAAGAGGGTCCTTCTTCATGGTTGGAGTGATAGCTTTGCAGATTGTGTAGTCGGAGTAACCATTAGCCTTGAGAGCTTGGTGTACGTGCTTGAGTTCACTGGCAATGTGTTCCTGGTCGGAGATGCATTGGGCTCTATGGTGCAGAGTCTTGATGAGGGAATTCTTCTGGGATGGATAGTGGTGGGAATCTGGTTTCAGGTAAGCATCCGTATGGGTAGCTTTCCTGTAGACAGACTGGCTCATTGAACCATCAGGTCTCTTTTTTATTAGGACATCCAAAAAAGGTAGCTTGCCATCTTTTTCGACTTCCATGGTAAATCTGATGGCTGGGTGTATGGAATTCATGTGTTCGAGGAATTGGTCTAGAGCAGGCCGGCCATGTGGCCAGATGGCAAAAGTGTCACCCACGTACCTCTTCCATAAGGTTGGGCGCAGAGTGGCAGTCTGGATGGCGTCAGTCTCAAATTTCTCCATGAAAACGTTGGCTACAACCGGAGATAGGGGGGAGCCTATTGGGGTGCCCCAAGTTTGTTTGTAGAAAGTTCCATTCCAAGTGAAGTATGTATTGGTTAAGCAGTGTCTCACCAGGGGGGGTATCTCAGTGTTTATTCCTTGATGAACCAAGTTCCTGTACCTGACACCATCACAATCATTGAAGCACGTACGCCAAGCTCTCAAGGCTAATGGTTACTCTGACTACACAATCTGCAAAGCTATCACTCCAACCATGAAGAAGGACCCTCTTGAGGAGCCATTCAAAACCATCACTTTACCCTACATTGCGGGGATCACAAAAAAGATCTCCAAAATCTTGAATGAACACAAGATCCAGGTCCGATTCAACACATTACATAAAATCCGTGATCTGGTTCTGTCTGTAAAAGATGTGATTCCGGACATACAGTACCCTGGCGTCTAGAAACGAAGTTGCCTCTGTGGTAGTAGTTACGTTGGAGAAACCAATCGACATGTCTCGGACTGCATCCGTGAACACAAAGCAGATCTAAAACACGGTAGGACCAACACCTCCTCCGTGGCAGATCACTGTTATAATTCAGTGGGCTCACATGACATTGACTTCTCCACGACAGAGGTTCTCTGAAAGCCATCTGGCTACCATGAGAGATTCGTTCATGAGGCTATCCACATATACAAACACAGGGATAATTTCAACCGAGACGATGGATTCTGGCTTAGCAATCATTGGAAGGACTTGATAAATCATTTAGGGTGTTAATTGATTGTTCACACTTACGGTGGCTTTCAGACCGCATTCCATTCTCTTCGTCTCCCCCCTCCTCTTTTCCGAACATATATGGACTCGTCCATCTGAATAACTGCCAAATCGCTCTCCGTGGTGCTAACGTTAAGAAAAAATCGCCACTTTTTTCAATTTTTTTTGCTGTGGTTTTCACACCCGATGATGATGCTTGTGTTGCAGTCGAAACGTCGTGAGAATTTAATTGTTTTATATTTTTATTATTTTATTGTTTCCCTTCGACGTGACTTTACCGAAAGAACCCACGAAAAATGCATATATTATCAGAGCATGTGTGTTTGCATTTTTTTACCACAAGCATGTGTGGTTCATGCAGACTTTCTTGTGATATGCGTCTATTTGGTATTTGAATATCTTAACACCTCCTGTATTATTGCTGGAAAGGGTAAAGCCTATCTTTTTATATAATTTTGATACCGGAAAAAAGGGTCGCATAGATAATAATAATTTAATTTAGTGCATTTGGTGTATGCGTCATTCCTAAACCACAAGGTTATCACGAAGCAAGGTGCTGTGAAAACAACGCCTTCATGATAGTCTCATGCTATTGGAATGGAACATGGCGAGAATCTATTGATTATTGATATAGCAGGTGACAAGGTGGTGGTGCAGCAGTAAGCCTTGTGGCTCACAGCAAGAAATGTCAATTCCCGATGGGGACACCTTTCTGCGAGGACTTGTATGTTCTCTCCTCCTACTCTGCATGGGTTTCCTCCAGGTTCTCCGGTTTCCTCCGATAACAAACAAAAAACTGTTTGACCAAACATCCCAATGCTGAAAAATTACCTGAATATTACTAAGTTGGGAACACATACAGCAGCAACATCGCTCCCCTAATGTGAAAAGGAGTCATGAGACTCCAGTGTAGCATTTCTGGGTAAAAAGCCAAATAATATTATTAATGTAATAGGAAGAGTTGGGATTGATTCGTAAATGCAGCAGAGTTCGAAGTGTCAAGTTGATTTTGTGTAACCAGGGTGAGTGGAACTCAAGAGATCAAGTTAGAGTCTCATTTGCAAGTGTGCCCCAGGGTCATTCCATACAAATCAACATCGTTCCCGACTTTAAAAGCTTGGCAGTACCTTCCTGAAAAAGAGTCTTCAGACTCGGTGAGACTTTTCTGGGTGAACAAGTGGAATGATAAGAGCAATGGAGTTCTGAAGTGCCGTCTGCAGCAGAGTGCGGTTCAGAGTGTCTCTCTGTCTCTCGGTCTCCCTTCAGGGGCCCAGCAGGAGCACCAAGCCTTGATCCCCTCTCCATACATGGACTGTGATGGCTGCTGTCTGCATGGGAGCGCTCGCCACTTATCCAGGTGCCACAGTGATGGATGCTCTTGTGCATGTGTCTGTGTCACTGGTTGGCGTTCTCCATGAACTTCACTCTTGGATTCTTCTACCCACGTTGAGCACTTGGTCTATAAGACTCACCGTTTCTTGTTGTCCACACACACACACTGTGTTCAATTCCCACACTGCAGGTCACAATAGCACACGCACTCACTCATCCACTCACAATGCTACAGGTTACAACAAGACACTCATTCACTCAATCACGGACGAACCCGGTCAATCACTCAAAAGCCACCTACCCCTCACCCACTCACCACACTACAGGATACAACAACACACTCGCTCATTCACTCACCCACCTCACACCAACTCACCCAGTGAACTACTCACTTAATCAAGAGCCACTCACTCACCCCCTAACAACACTGTAGGTCACACCATTTTTCTTTCTGCTTCTTCACTCGCACCGCTCGACTTTGGAATCCCCTCCTTCCCATTGCCTCTTTCCCCAAGCTCTTACAATAACCTTGCTCAATTCAAGAAACTCATTAACTCTTATCTGTTCCAATGGTAATGCATGCAGTATAATGCGGGGACAGATAAACAGACAGGGATAAATATGCACAGACATGGCACCCTTTTAAAGTTTATATGCCCTCAAATTGAGAACATTTTAATTTGCAGTGCTAGCTTCCAACATTACTAAATTTGGAACACGTAGAGCAATCATCGCTCCTCCCTACTGGTAGACTAACTCCCGTTTGCAGGCCAGGTGTTGAGTCACCTTGTACATCACAAGGACGACTGTTACTGGGAGTGCCCGTTAAAATGTTAGAGATGCGGTGTAAGTCAGCGGGCACCAGGGACCGGTTTCGTGGAAGACAATTTTTTCACGGACCGGGGGGGGTCATCATTGGGTCTTTCCCCTTTTTCAAAGAAGCTCTCCAGCGACATTTGTTTTTTACTAATTTTGGCTAGGATTAGCTTGTGGGCTTACCAAAACTGTGACTGAGACAAGTGCGCAGTGCGGGAAAGAGGCGCGGATGGAAGTGGTAAATAAAATAATGGGCGGGCCACGCGCGGACTCACCGCTCACCTTCTGCTGTGCGGCCCGGTTCCTAACAGGCGACGGAGCGATACCGGTCCGTGGCCCGGGGGTTGGGGACCCCTGGTGTAAGTCGCATATCGCATGTAAAGCCCTCTGAGATGGCCAGGTATAAAAGAAGGTGGCTATATTCCAAAAAAAATAATTGTCAGTCGCTACAAACACACATTCCAACTGGTGTTGGCCAAACATCATAATGCTGAAAACTGACCTGCAAATTACATTAAGTCCGCGTTTAACGTGGTAGATGTGTTTCTGAAGAGTACCGCATTATGTGAAAACCGCATAGTAAAAACAATTTTCCCATAAATAATCTACAAATAAAGTTTGGCGAGATACGATGTACGCATAATCAGTTAGATGGTGGGACTGATAACTGAGGGTACGGTGCCACGTTACTGTATCATTCCTTGTACTGTATCACTCCACTCAGCCACGTAGCTCAAGAAAATAGTTTGTCGTCAACCGCTCAGAAACTATGTTATAACAGTGTGTGTCCTGCGTTATAACAGGGACGCATTCCGCGTTATAATAGGCACGTTCCAGGTTGTGCGAAAAATGTTTCCCGAATGAATGAACCGCGTTAGTGAAAACGAGTCGTGGGGTGAACCCCGCACATTAAGCGAGGACTCTCCGTACTCAATTAGCATTACACACAGTAGAAGCAACAACATCGCCCACCTCCTCTATGACAAAAACTTGGCAGGACCCTCCTGCCAAAGGGGAGTCTTGAAGCTCTCCTGTGTAATCACTTGTGGTGGTAATCAATCATGACAATGATGGCGGCGTACATTACGGTTGAGCGTGCGACACCCCCCACGGCCTCTCCCCCTCCCTCCAGGGTGTCGTCATGCGTGTCTTTAGACGGCGACGGACGCCGCCAAGGCCGGCGGCGTGGGCACGGGCGTGCCTGCGCATGCGCGCTGTGCGCTGGCGACCATGGCGACCCCGACAAGGCCCTGCTCGACTACATCAGCAAGCTGGATGACATCCAGCTGAGGCTGGGCCAGCACTACGCAGGTTCCTGGTCTCCCGCAAATCGTTATTTAGTTTACACAAGCACGGCTTGACTGAGACCCATGCTGTCCCTCCTGCCTGATGCCGAGAGGCTGGTGCATGCCTTCATTTCATTAAGGTTGGACGATGGCAATGCCTTGCTTGCTGGTGTTTCTAAAAGTGTTTTAGATAGACGAAAATATATTAAAAACTCAGCTGCCCACGTTTTAACCCATATATAAATCACGTGAACTAGGTCACTCCGATTATTTCCTCCCTGCACTGGCTCTCTGTAAAGTACAGAGTCCACTTTAAGATTCGTCTTCACCTAATGTTTAAGGCCTTGAATGAGTTGGCTCCTAAATATCTCACCACTGACCTGCTTAATTTTTATATTCCACTGTGAATACTTAGATCTGCCGATTCTTGTGTAAACTAATGATAATTCCATGAAGACCAGATTTTGTTCTGTGGGAGACAAAGGCTTTTTGCAGCCAGGCTCCACGATCATGGAATTCCCTTCCTCCTCAGTCCATTTGGGAATCTGAGTCTGTTACACTTTTTAATTGCATATTTTTGCAAGCTTTCTCCATAACTTAAGCTTCATGCACAGTGCCTTCGTGTGAATGGCGCTTTTTTAGAAAACCATGTTTATTATTATCATAACACGATAACATTTGACAGCACACATAGGTTTTTGACAGCATACATAGGTTTGTGCGGTTCCACAGACCACCGGTTCAAGATAACTGAACGTCTGCGCCATATCGTTGTCATTTTGGATAACCGCCACCTCAAGGAGTTAAGGAATTGTGGTCGTCCCAGCGGCAGCAGTGTAACAGAGACGCTTTTGGCGACCAACACGATACGGTCATTAGTGTTGGCTGTTGCTATCTGCCTCTGGGAACTCCGTACATGGAGAGGGCTGTGACCTTTACACTGTGGAGCTGATGAGATGTGTAAAAAAAAAATACTTGTTTATGTGGAGAGACAGATTGTTAATAATATTTTCTACAATACTGCATTTACTCTCTCTTGCTTTCTCTTCTATAAAGTAGCTTCTGTATGCCTAGTTTCCTCCCGTTTAAGGCGGGAGATATGTTTCTGAGAAGTTTGACGTTAAGCGAAAAACCTGTTCAGTGAAAACTATTTCCCCATAAATAATGTAGTCACGAGAAAGTTTGGCGAGATACGATGTGCGCACAGTGAGATGGCACGACAAATAACTGAGGGTGTGCCACTGAGGTTACCGTATCATTCTATATACTGTATCATTATACCGCTCGGCCGCGCAGCTCATGAAAGTAGTTCATTGTCAACCGCTCAGAAACCGCGTTATAACGGTGCGCATTCCGCATTATAACTGTATTTGTTCTGCATTGTGCAACAAGTGTTCCCTAATGAAATAACCGTGTTATAGTGAAAAAGCGTTATGTGAACACCATGTGCTAAGTGAGGACTTACTGTAATTGGTATTGGCCAAATATCTCGATGCAAAAAAACCCCTGAAAATTACTTGATTTAGTTCAAACTACCATATTGCAGATTCTTGATAGCACCCTCCTGAAAATGACTTTAGACCTTCCTTGGTAAACAAGCACAATGATAAATAATGTTTGACTATTAATGGTGCTGAACGAGTGACCGTTCTGTGTGTTTGCGCTTAGAGCCGCTGCTGGTGCAATACAGGAGCAAACGGATTTAGCCTGGCTTGTGGACAACCCAGCACCAGCACGGGAACTCCCTCCCAGCGACGCGCCCGGCAGACCCACCTCCGGTTGACGACGCGGTGATACCCTCCGTTGGCAACTCGGCACAAGCACCAGCAGTGTGAGGAAAGTGTGAATTTATTGTTATATGATAACTGGCGGTCTTGGTAACTATGATCAGAATGATTACCGGTTCCAAAAGTCAGGAGGCGGAAATCGTTTCCAGTAGAGCGTTAGTGATGAATGAATGGACCAATTCTCCTGCCTGAATCTACAGCCATCTGGAACGATCTTCTTTCTGATATTAGGATGCCACTGGACCTATGCACTTTTAAATCTAGATTGAAAACTAATTTCTTTAGAACTGCTTTTAGTGTTTAGTTTGTTGTCCTTCCCCCGCACCTCCGCTTAGCACAGTTGCGAAAGAAGTTCAACATACATAGGAACTGCATGGCACTTGCCACTCTTGATCTGCTATCTATGGGATCCTTTTTGTTAGGATGAAAATGATTAAACAAATTAAAGGCTTTACCCTTTCCAGCAAGAATACAGGAGGTGTTAATATGTCCAAACACCAAATAGACACCTATGATCACAAGGCATCAAGTCTGCATTAGCCACACCGTTTTTCATCATCTTCATACCGGCACAAAGGGTCCCATAGATATAACTGCTCCACTCGAATGGTTAATGCTTTGATATTTGCATTGTCTTTTCCCACATCTCCAATTCACTTGGTTTGCTATGTATGCTGCAAAATAAGTTCTATATATACATATGTTTTTGAGCTGTTGGCCTTTTAGCATTGTCTTCTGGTGTAACACCAGTGAGATAAGGGCATACAGAAAGCTGTCTCTGGTGTAAGCCAATCCGTTTCAAGGACAATACATGCATGGTTAGCAAAATATGTTTGTTTGCATGTTTTACAACAAGGATGTGTAGTTAATTTAGACTTGATGCCTTGCAATAGGTGTCTGTGGTGTTTGGTCATCTTAAAACCTCCTGTATTATTGCCACAAAGGGTAAAGCCATTTATTTTTTCATGATCTCGATCTCTTCTTCCACTGTCCTCGAAGAGGTAGGCATACCCATACTTTACCTCACTACACTCAACCTGCCGATCGACTGGTTGTGTTTAACTTGCTTGTAACTGCCGTCTTGGGAGGTAGGAGTTTAACCGGTGACCTCTGCAATGTAAGTCCAGGATGCGAACCGTTACGCCACCGCTGTTTTTTAGTAAAAATTGTAAAAAAGTTGTGTTTATTGCTAACGATTCTGCCATGCGATATTCAATGCCGTTTTGTCAAAACAAGTTGTAACCGTTAAATATCCCGTGACCTCATCCAAAGAAAAGGGGTAATTGGCAACCACGATTACAGTTTAGAGTTTGGTTTATGCCACATTCCTTGTTCAGTGGAGCAAAATTATCTGGGCATAACACTGCCCCAGTCATAAGGTCCTGTTCTTATCTGTCACGAGATCTTGCCAACACACTTCAAATAGTCAACAAGTCGAAGCGAGTTTCTACTCAAATTAGCATTTGATGTCCTGGTACTCACCTTGATTTGAAGCTTTCGTGACTGCAGGAATCCATACTCTTTGGTTCTTTCGGTAAAGTCACGTAGGTAGAATATTAATAGATCACGATGTTTCGATCGCAACACAAGCAATCGTCATCAGGTGGGACAACCACAGCAAGAAAAAACTGCTGAAGTAGGGCCTACTTCAGGGCCTACTTCAGCAGTTTTTTTCTTGCTTGTGTTGCAATCGAAACATCGTGATCTATTATTTTTCTACCTACATGACTTTTACGAAAGAACCAAATAGTATGGTACTCATTTGTTTACAACACTGAGCCAGTGGTGGAAATTCGTCGTTTATATAGTAGTCAGTATCGAGTCTATTCCATAGGAAAACCATTTATTGAATCCCCACAAACTACAACTAATTTAATCCACTCCGCAGGGATGGATGATGGGCTGAGTCAACCGGTAACCAGGATTTGAACTCACAACCTTCCTTCCGATTGCGAGCCTCACTCAACGGTGAACTGAATTGGTACAACATCAACATGTGGGATAACTGAAACTGGATGGATTGATGGTGCAGAGATATGGCCCAGCCGTAACAGATTCACCACTTGTTGCAGAGGTTCGTGGTTCGAATACAGCAGCCACCCTGGTTTATCACTACGCTGTAATAACCATAATAATATCACGCGCCATCTGCTTGAGAGTGAATGTTCAAGATTTCGTGACGTCATTCGCAAGAGTAAACCATTTTGTGGTGACATCACGGTCAAAATTTGCACATCCTAAAAATCACCTGACATTTACTCAATTAGAATTATACATGGCAATTATCGCCACCTCCTGCGCAAACTTGAGTCACGAGACTTGGTGATGCTTTCCTTGGTAAACCAAGTGAAAACAAATACATAAATAAATATGCTGTAAAGTTAACTGAAGCTGAACTATTTTTCCCCTTAATTATGGGAGGAAACCACTTCACATTTCTTTTTACAAACCATTTGATTTGCAAACCAGACTATCAGCTTTATTTCTGAATGGTGAACATCTGGGATTTATTCAACACAATGAGGCCCATTCGTCCTGCTTGCTGTTGGCATGAGTTCAGGTAACCTTATGCATTGTAACGTGTAATTGGTGGCCCGTGTAATCTCATGCAGCTCTCCATCGTCATGCCACACACAGCTTCCCAGCCATTCTAACGCTACATTCGTGACTAGCATCACTGGTCACATTGGTATGCTGATGATCCATAACAAAAGTGAAATCGGTGCTGCTGATATATCATTTTATTTGTACTTATTACTATTGACGGTTGGAACTAATTTACAAGTGATCTGTTGAAACCTGTGCACTTACTCACTTCTCACACAAAAGACCAGATGCTGTGTGATGCCGTGGGTCTGTGTGCGCAATGGAATTCATACTACTGTTGTCTTTAGGAGTCCCGCATCTCTGCCTGTGAGTTTGGAGGACTGCATTTGCAATATAGTGAGCAGCAGCATGCATGTAGCTGGCATGCACGGGTCTGTGATGATTGGGTAGGGCACGGCTCATGGCACATCACAATAAAAATAAAACACGTAGTGCCTTAGTATGCGATTGTACTACAATTAACACTCAATATTATTCCAAAGCATGGAGGAGTTTAGCCGTCTCAATACACCGATCTTGAAACCTGGTCTCAATACACTGAACCTGAGACCTGGTCTCAAGACAATGAATCTGATACTAATAATGTCTGTGCAAAGCTAAAGAATAATACATTAACAAGGCTGTGTATTTCTTATGTGTGTAACAAGTCGCTACTGCTATTATGATTGTAAACTGCCAAGAGCCTGAAAGTATAGCCTGATTTAAATTTAATTTGGGAGTATCTGAATGCTTTGAAGTTTGCATTTTGTCTATGGCATAAATGCTGATATGCTTTCAGGGAATATGGAAACGTGTATTGTTTTATCAGTACTTTAAGCTGCCTCCTAACCGTTTTTTTTACTACTTTTTCCCCTGTGTGTTTTTCAAACGGGGCATGTAACTTTGCTGTTCTCTTCATGATGTTGGCTATTTGGTTTCAAATAAATAAAGCTCTACAACTATTTAAAACTACTTTTGTTTAATATTCGTAGGATATCCCAGATTCGTAACTTTCTCTAACTCCAGTTGTTGCTGAAACACTCATTGCTGCTTATGTAACCTCCAGACTGGATTACTGCAAGTCTGTTTTATATGGTCTCTCAAATTATCTTTTTCAACAGATTCAGGTAGTCCAAAATTCAACAGTGTTGACTCTTGCCCACAAACATGAACATTTCACCCCATTTTATATTCCCTTAATTGACTCCCCCCCCCTTCCCACCAGCCCCATTAGTTTACGAATTGGGTTTAAGATTGCACTCTTAGATAACCCATATGCTTACACAAAGAGACCCAAAAATTCACAGAGACACATTGAGGCACACAGAGACCCATAGACTCACACAGAAACCCATAGACACAGAGACAATTTGAATGAGACACCCAATTCAGAGTACTTTGTTCATCCAGTATGGAGCTGCTCATTCAGAGCCTCTAGTTAAATGCAAGATGGTGGGGTCGGCGTTCCTTCATGTCAGCAGCTCCCACAGAGTGGAATACACTCCCGCTCCATATACGTCAAATACATTTCCACTATTTAAGTCCAATTTTTAAAATACCTTTAAATTAGTTGACCATGGTTTGGGTGTGATATTTTTTCTTATTTTATTTCTGTTGTCTTCTACAGCGTTGTGATATGCGATTTTGCGTGAACGACGCGATACGCAAAATTATCATTTTGATAGCGTTTTGCGAAGGAGGGGTTAAAGAAATTGTCTGGAAAATTCCAGAAAAGATCCACGTGGGCAGAGGGTATAGAAGGGGCGTTTATGGCCTGTGGCCGGAGCAACGCCAATGGAGACCTCACTTCTAAGATCGCCGCGTGTGGACTTCCTTTCAAAGACAAAGATCTCCTGTATACCCTTAACAGACTGTTGTAGCTAGTACTCTTAGTGAGCACCTAATGAAGGCCAACAAGGCACACGAGGAGTGGGTGGCCAGCACCATGCCCGGCCTACTTTGTTTCCCCAGTGGTGATGTTTACACATTGCACCATATACTCATTTAAAAGGGACAGTCTTCTTCAAAGCGAGTTCTCAATTGTGAGGAGACTGGTCGCAGATGCAATGGAGACATTTCTAACAAAGTCGAACCATAGAATGGCAACGAGACGTCTTTGGCATCGCATGTGAAAGGACTGCAGCCGATCAAAATTGGCTTGGAGCAATGTCCAGGCCTCTATACTTAGACCGCTATAGACGGTAGCTTCTTCTCTTTGAATATGCAGAAATAAACAAATCGCTATCCCCTTCACCCTCCACAAACTTTCTCCCCTTTGGGATAACCCGTCCGTCAGAATTGGAGGAATTGGGATCACATGGCCACTGGAGGGCAGCTCACATTCGCTAAATCGGAGACCTGACCAAAGATGGAGACTTTAAATCACTCTAACTTATGCAATCCCAACACGACCTTCCACACTACCACTTCCATTTTTTTCCAGATTGGAGACACTGTCACTAAAGCCATCCTCTGGTTAACTGGCTTACAGCAGGCGATGATGAGTACAAAATAGTGTAAGCGTTATCGGGTCCTTTGCCTTGAGAAAGACCAGCCCAGACTAAAAACTTAAAGGCGGTGGGAAATACCACCGGGCCAACCCATCCCTCCCCAGAAATGGGCGCAATTATGGCGGGTCCCTTCTGCATGTCCCAGATTGCTCCCGCTTAAAACCATTCCATTTAAGTGTATGCATGGAATATACCATACCAGTGAGAAGATGATGACGTTTTCTTATACTTCGCCAGACTGCTATAGGTGCCCAGAAAACACCACCCAGACTTAGCTGCACGCCTTTGGTCATGCATGGATATTGTGGAATTTAGTTAGACATCACCACTTCAATAGAATAAATGCCACATGTTTTACCCACGATCGACTCCTCCCTAAGGTGCCTGAAACCCCTGAACATTTCAAAGGCACATGCATGTCTTAATCATGCCTTTAATATCTCAGCCAAAAAAAACACATTCTGAGCAAATGGAAAGATCACGAACTGCCCTCTGGGAAAACATTGCCACCATTCGTTTTATGTTCTGGCAGCAATGGGAGTCCCTCAGATATAAATTTTAAAAAATTGAATTTGAGGGAATGTGGGGGCCCTTCTCGAACAGCGTGCTTAACCCAGTCCCCTACCGATATTTATCCGGTACAGGACAAGATCCAGGAAAATCTGGCAGGAATGAACGAGAGAAAAACTCACAACCGCACACTACAAACCCTCCCCCAATGCTGTGGCCAGCTTTAGAGAAAGGGTTTTGTCCCCCCTCCAATCCCCTCTAGCAAAAAAATGTGGTCCCTTATAAGTAGATATAGCCCAGAGGACACCATTCAAATATCATTCCTCCCCGCCCCCACGTACGCATACAAGTGTAATGTCATAGGTCTCTTCTCCCTCGGCGAGGCTTGTGTGTGTGCGGGTGGCGTGCACTAAGTCGGAGACGAGGTCGTCGCAGGGGGCACCTTCCTTTATTACTTTCCACCGCCACCAACTCCGGCCCCTCTCTATCTCTCTCACGACCACGCTGCCGTACGACCCGACCCATACACGACCCTGTCCGTGTTGCACCAACGGCGTCCACCGGGATCGGGCGAAGGCAGCAGCGACGAAGGGGGTGACGACGACAGCGATGATGAGACGAGTCCACTCCCAGAACTGCTGCTTATATTCCCTTCTCGAACCCACCAGAGGGTTCCTGGGGCCTCCCCACGAGGTCTACCGCGACCCTTGCCCCAGTTCTTCCACCCTGCCGGCACACCAGTGTATATGCTCAACGGCGTGTGCAGTTGCAGCTGCTATACAGCAGTCAGCGCTGTGTCACTACACAAGTAATCCCTTTTTGATTTAAAACTTTCGTAACTGCAGGGATTCATATTCTTGGTTCTTTCGGTAAAGTCACATAGAAGGGAAACAATATATTTTTATTGTTTACCTTCTACGTGACTTTACCAAAAGAACCAAGAATAAGTAATCCCTTATAGTAA